CTTCCTGTTGGCCACTTCTGGACGCTTCTGGACGATCGCCTGCTTCAAGCGGTCCAGTTGTTCGCAGTAGATGTTAGAATTAAGCGTCTGGCCAGCTTATAGTGGATGATTCCCTGCCAATCCCACCAAACACACAGCAAAACCTTCCTGGCCGTCAATCCCGGCTTGGCCACTGTTTGGGACGATTCACCGGCCTTCGACCACGACCGTTTTCGCTTGATATTGTCGTATCCATTTTTCGTCGCCAGTCACCATCCGCTTCAAGAATGGTCGAGTTCGTTCCGTTTCAGCAGCATATCGCAGGCGTTGATTCGGTCCAGAAGGTTTTTTTTCGTCAAATTATGCGGCACCCAAACATCAAACTTTTTTTTGTATCCAGCCTTCTGCAGATGGTTGGGCGATGTCACGAGATGCCATATGCCGGTCTAACTCGATGTATTCCATGATTTGATTGGTATTTGTCGTCACAGGTCTTCCGCCGGCTGGCTTATCCATGGTGTCGTTTTCACCGGCTCTGAATCGTCGAAGCCATTCCTCCGCGGTTCGAAGTGATAGAGTACCATCCCCCCAAACACCATTAATCTCACGGAACGTTTCTCTAGCGGATTTGCCTTTTACGAAGGAAAACTTTAAAATAGCGCGAATTTCGGCGTTAGTGAACTCAATGTTTACACGTCTATAACTGTTGAACGCAATATCCAAACTAATCATGCATAGCGTTGTTTTGTAGGTTATGTCAAGACCTTTCAAACTATGTATAGTGTTGCCAGATGTAGCGCCTTGTACATAGCTGCGAAATTCAAAAGAAAAAAAGCGGAAGGGAGATATTTGACAACCTAATATAATGCGGAGGTTTAAACTTCATAATAAAACTGGAATTTCAAGAAAAAATTATTTTTAATGCAATTTATATGCGTTTATTTTCGAAACCGCACAATGAATAACCCTACGTAGTCGCTTGGCTGGCATAATTCATGAACCACTGAATGCAAAATAAATTAGAAAATTGACATATGTACAAAACAAATTGCCTCATTTGAGGTCGGTCGACTCATCGCTACTAATGAACTGGCCAAGTTTTCAAATGGCAATTGTTGTTTCGCAAAAACAAAAATTAAGTATTGTTTAGTTTAAATTTTTAGATTTTTATTTTGACATTGTTTTCTTATTTATTTTTTATTCTTTCTTATTTTAGCCTAAATCGGTTAATTCTTATTATTTGTTTATGTTTAAACTCACTTTCATTATTTATTTATTTTCTTCTTTATTTTAATTTATTTAGCGGTTATTTTTGCTTCAATTTTTGTAGTTGTGTTTTCGTCTCTCTCTCGACATTTTCCTTTAACTATTTGATTTTTCCACGACTTTTTTTATTATATTATTTTTATTTTATATTTGTTATTATTTTTGTTAGTTTGTTTTTCTTTAATTTAATATCTTTTTGTTTCCCCCTCACCATGCCAAGGATATGTCGAGGCCACTAAGTGTAATTATGTTTTATATGTGTTTTCTAGTTTGAAAGGCTATAAAATAATTAACGGTAATAAAATGTGCAAAGGAATGTTATAAATAGGCAAAAAAATCTAAACAAACAAAATAAAATAAAAGAAACAATGCAGTAATCATATAAAACTAGTACCAATAGCAATTAAAAGAAGAATTAAAAAATAATAAAAATAAAAAATGTTCACCGAATCTTTAAAATTAAATAGCTGATCAAGATAATAAAATTACAGTTACAATAGAGCACTCAGAATTACTCAAAATTTGTAAAGTTCTTTTTGTGAATGTAGAAAAAAAAATTAAATAAATAAAACAGTAGCGAAATAGTAAAATAAGGTTGGCTTACACTCGGGAAGATTTTATAAATAAGTAGAGAGATGAGAAGTCGTAATTCTCTCCTTTTTACGGAAAACGCTTTTGACATTTTAGAAAGCTATCAATAACTTTAACGGTGATTTTAGAGAAAAAGATTATAGAAATATTTTCGAATGGAATTTCCAATAAAGAAAAAACTCTGGATTTGTTAGCTGTTTTTAGGCTGGTTGTTGGGATTTTTTCAGTCGGGAAGGTGGTTATTTTAGTTTTTTTTTATAAATTATTTTATTTAAAACAAAAACACTGCTACAAAAATCTAAACAAAAATCATACAAAAATCTAAACAAGTAGTAAAAGTAAATAAGTTGGACTTTTAATATTAATTGACTATCGAAAATTTAAGGTCGCATATCAAAAAACTTGGAGGGTTGAAGACGCGTTTCCTTCACTCAAAGCGTCTAGTCCATTTCTACCAAGATTTCCTCTTTAAGTGAATGCCATCGCAGATACTCACGTTTCAGATGCATATTTTTCTGCTTTCCTTTTTTATGTCCATTCGGAAGTAATCTTTTCGCTTAACTTTAATTTGCTCTACACGTAAACAACTATTATCAACCTTCAGAAGCAGCTAATTTAAATAGTACAAACAAACAATAATTTCAATACCACTTTTGGGGGTTTCACTTTGAATTGCCCCGAAAATTATAGTCAGTTCATGAAATGCCCCAATATTATGCTTAATCTAAAAGAAGGGAGTTGGTTCTTTGCTAACTTTCCTCTTCAGTGTTCTTAATAAATCTGTGACGAACATGCATTAATGCAGCCATTTTGTCTTTTTCACCGGTAAAATTTGGGTAAACGGTTTTCGATGGTTGCGTTGTTGAAACCAAAATTACAACGTGAAGATAAATTTCAAGTTAATCGAAAAATTTCTATCGTTTAGTTTAAAACTTTTGGAAACACCAACGTTGAAGTAGTAATAAAAATAAATTTATTTTCTTTTTGGGTTTTTTTTTTTGGAAATAGTGAAAAAATTACAACAACAGTTTCGGACGGTAGAAGTTATAGGTGCTATTTTGGAAACCACCAAGTTTCCTCATCAGACTTCTTTTTCCAGACTCCTTTGTTCGAATTGAATTCAAGCTTGGCATGTCCACAGCACGTGGCAATGGTTATCCCATTAAGCTACGAAATGACATCCTTGCGTTATTTCTGGTTGAAACTGAATGTTTGGAAAAACAGGTTGTTACAGGCTACGCTGGAGAATTTTCAATACAGAAAACAGTGAAGCTTTCGAGTAAATAGCAAAGTCTCCCTGGATCCATTCCCCACTTTCCTACTGCTCTCTCGTTTGTGTGTGAAATTTTTCACAAATTCTTAGTATACGGCCATCAGGGTCCGCAGTCTATCGAAAATATTTAAGGAAGTAAACATAAATTAAAACAATTCTGAGACAATAGACATTCGCTCGCTGATTAGAAAATATTCGAAAAATTGCGCACGATATTTGCTAGAGAGTCTATTAAGGCTAATCTATGCGACTGTAGAATTTTAGACAAAGGTTATAAGAGTTCTAATATTGATTACGTTACATTTTGGCCGGGTCAGAACACTTATACTGTCTCTTTCTCCCCCCCCNGCCCCCCCCCCCAACCATTCTCATCAGACTACTTATGGTAGCGATGGTCAGCAGATATACACCGTCTGTCCATATATAAAAAAACCAGTCATATTTTTGCGCCTATGGAATGCACTATCTACCTGAACTTTCCCATAGATCGAAGCGGTTGTTCTTAATTTGCTCAATTTTTCTTTCGATTTGTCTAAACAAATTCTTCTAACATCTAACGTCTACGATATTCAGCGCTGCTAATCCGAAAAGGTCTATAAATCTTTAGCAAAATACTTCTTTCGAAAACTTTTTATGGATGTAATCGATGTTCACGATTCCTCAACATTCAGCAGGAGGGGAATGATGAGCAACTTGTAGAGCTTGGTCTTTGTTCGTCGAAAGAGAAGTTTTAATTGCCGAACCAGTTCATAGTAACTTCAGCTGACTTAATGATGGTTCCGAGATTGATGAAATTATATACGACCTAAAAGTTACTACTATCAATAGTTACGTCAGAGCTCACGGACGAAATCGCTGACTATTGTTTAATGACTGGAAATATTTTCCAGGACCTCGTTTACCACCAAGCCATTTTGCTTCGCCGCTACCTCGAGTTGTGTGGAGCTGTTGCTAAAGAATTCATACTATGAACAAAATTCGCGAGCATACTAATTTTGTATTATATATTTTTCTACATTTCCAAAAAAAGTGCGATATTTTTCTGGGCAACATTTTTTCGGGGCAAAATATTTTCAGGGCAACATTTTTTCGGGGCAACATTTTTCCAGGGCAACATTTTTTCGGGGCAACATTTTTTATAAAAGCGAAATATTTGTCAGAGAAAAAGTAACGCCATCAATGATACAAACTAATTTTTTTCTCGAAATTAAGTAAAATAAACGAATTCCACGCGCATTTGGTCACAAAGATTTATCGTACCTTCTCGGTAACAAGGCGTTGGGTACAATAAGCAAATTTGAAAACTTTATAAAATCAAAAACAAAAAACGCTACTGACATAAATGCATGAAATGGGGAGAATTTCGACAAAACGAAATGATCAGTTAGCCAAAACAATGCGCTCTGCCCAACAGCAAGCCCATTTTCACATACATAAATATTTTTTTATTTACTTTATTTTATTGTTTTTTTTTCATAGATTTTTATTTTTCCTCTACTACATTTTTGAGATCTATTTAGGCTTTGTTTACAAAAAAAAAAAAAAAACAAAAAAAAGCTATACAACGTCAATGAAGCGTGTGAACTGGGTGTGTGTGATTCTAGACGAATATACAGCAACATGAGTAAAAGTGCAAAGTACGTGTATGTGTATGTGAATAAATATGTGTTTCAGTATTTACCCAAATTAGTCGCTCAACTAAGCACACTTCAATGAGTAAACTACTTCATTAGATGCTTTATTATTATTTTTATTTTTTATTTTTATTTTTATTGTTTTTTTTTTTTTTTTGTTATTTCATTTTATTTGATGTTTGTTTCTACTTATGTATTAGTATGTATGTTTTTGATTATTTGCCTCATCTGTTAGAAATTTACGACTTTCATTTTCAACTGAGCTTTCGGACTAAACACTTGTTTTCTTCTTCTTCTTCTTATTTTCTTTCAATTACTCTACTCTCGCAGATAGTTCGCAAGTTGATCCACAGAAGAGCAGCTCGACTTAAGAAGCATATCGTAAGGAAAATTGCAGTAATTCACTGAAGATGTCGCTGTTGCGTACTGTTTTGTTATTGGCTGTCGGTGCTACTGTCGCCTTGGCTCAACGTCGTCTTGCGTTGCCGGATCCACGCAGTTGTGCTAATCGTAAGTAAAAAAAAATATATATATATTATTTCTATTGAAATGTGGTGGAATTACTTAAGCAATAGCGGACAGGCCAGACAAAATTGCTCGGTTCACCTTCACTAAGTTTTCTTTGGGTCATACTGCATATGTGAAGACTTGAGAGATCAAAAAGCTATACTTTTGATTCTTTATTGATGTGGATTTTTGGGTCCCGTGCAACAGCGGTTCTACGGGGGACAATTAAGCTGTTGGGACTGTAAGTGTGGATGCCACAGTGGGAATGAATGTAAGCTTTTCTTTCCACATGGGGTCTGTTCTTTGACTGTGTTAGGGCTCTACGCCTACTGATTTTGAGCTGAGCGAATACTTAAGTAAATATAAATTAAATCCACTCACCACTCTAGCCCCCAACAAGGTTTTTCCACGAGCCCAGCAAATCAGACTACTTCCGTAAGCACCGTTAGATGCACAGCTCTTCTGGCTTAGATCCGAACTCTACCACTCTCTCTTCTTTCCGTCGCGGTGTTGTATCTGTGATTCCTTATTTACTGTTCTCCAAGAACGGTAGCCTCGCAATAGCTATGAATAGAAGGCTGTTGCATCTGAATAAAGGCTGGATGCTTAACACCTCTTCTGCTTCAAAAGTACATTTACTTTTAGAGTTAAGACCAACTGCAGTGTGTATACGAGTATAAATAGCACCTTATACCCGCTGAAGCGAGTTGCGGCCATGCTCCTTCGCCAATTTTCGAGTCGGTCTTTAGATTTTGTCAACAAAGGGAGGGATCTATCATTTTAAGCCATCTCTGAATGGGTTTATATGAGGAACATTTAATTCCATTCATCAAATATTAACCTGGGAGGAGGGTTGTCTAGGGCTTTCCTCTCCATTGCTCATGCTACTTTCGTCAGATAGAGAGCATCATAACTCCTCTCTTTCAGCTTCTATATCTTCTCGGTGTTGTATCTGGGGTTCCCTGTCTAAGGTTTGTCAATAACGACAACCTCGAAAAAAAATTGAATTGGAACAATTGTCTTCACATGAGGAGAAGGGCTGAAAGCCTTAGGTCCATTTTTTTTTTACAAAAACAAGGCACCTTTACCACAGTGGTTAACACTTCTTTGGCAGAGGGGCGACCGCGTCTTTTGAATGGTTGCCTTGTCATTGTCTTGAAAATTTTTGTAGAATTCAAGTTTGATTGCCTCCTCAAGTCTAAACGCTCACTTTTCTTTCTCGCCCAACAGGTGTACGTCATGCCACCTACCGTGACGCTCGCGGCGTTGCACATTCGTACTTCTTCAGTTGGGAACATGCGCCGACACGTAGTCTCGAAGTCGATTGGTTGGATGCACGTAATATATGCCGTCGCCATTGCATGGACGCCGTCTCGTTGGAAACACCGCAAGAGAATGAATTCATCAAGCAGCGCATAGCACGTGGCAATGTACGTTACATCTGGACCTCGGGTCGTAAGTGCAACTTCGCTGGCTGTGATCGTCCTGATTTGCAGCCACCAAATGAGAATGGTTGGTTCTGGTCTGGATCGGGCGCTAAAATCGGACCAACATCACAGCGTAACACCGGCGATTGGTCACACACTGGCGGCTACAATCAACCACAACCCGATAATCGTGAAGCGGCACAGGGTAATGATGAGTCTTGCTTGTCGATTTTGAACAATTTCTACAATGATGGTCTCAAGTGGCACGATGTGGCTTGCCATCACCTGAAACCGTTCGTGTGTGAGGATTCCGATGAATTGTTGAACTTTGTGCGTTCACGTAATGCTGGTATACGTCTGTAAGCGAGGGGGGCAAGCGGAAGAGATGGCTAAAGGCAAGACGGAAAGGAGGTGGTGTCGTAGCATATTCTGGTTGCGGTTTGTGGCTTGTGGAACGTGAGATGTGTGGAATGTAGCGTGTGTTTGTTGTTGTTTTTGTTTTCATTTTCGTTTATGTTTTATATATTTTTCTTTTTGGTAAAGAGATTTCATTTTTTTTTCATTTTTTTTTCGTTCAAAACAGTTTTTTATTTGAAATTAATTCGAAATTAATTTATGTTTAAAGGAAAAATAAAAACGAAAAAAAAAATTAAATAAATTTAAAAAGAATTCCCATAATAGATTGTATTATTATTCGCGATTAGTGCGTAAAATTTGTTGGACAATTTAGTTTTACCCAATTTATGTAAGCCAAGAGTATTCTCAGTTTAGTTTTTCTACTGTCTCCACACCGTTAAATTGGCTATTAACTTAATACCCACACGCGTATTTCTATATACATACATAATTAATCCCTTTTATATTATATATAAAATGTTTTGGTTTAACGATTTCGGCCGTTTCTTTGTTTATTGCATTTAATTAATTATTATAAAAAAAAATTAAAAAAAATGTATTTTTAAGTTTATGAAATAATTGACATATGTATATGAGTATTTAAATATGTATAGAAAATTGAAAATAAATTCTTGCATTAGTATATCAAGTGTTTTATTTATTGGTTGCATTAACAAGAAATTGAAAATTTAAATATATATTAAATAAAAATAAATGAATACCACAAAATTGCATGTACACATATGTATATAGAAGTATATGTATATGCATATAAAGAATTATTTCCGCTGTCGCTAACTGCGAAGGCCTGTGCGCGCATAGCTATAAAGATCACTTATAACGGCAGTAAAATCGTAGCATATGCACAGGCGTAAGTAGAGAAAAACTAAAAAAACAAAATAACGGTGGCCAGCTCGTCAGTTCTGTGCGCCGAGTAAAACTCTGCACAAATGTATGAGAGCCAAGCAACGGATTTTGCTGGCAGTGAGAAAATCTAACCAATAACGAAAACTGTAGCATATGCTACGGCGTACTTACGTTAATAAGCAAAGTAACCCATAAAATCATCACTTACCTGTCGTATGTACAATAAAATACAATATAAAATATTTAAAAAATAAATAAATTATTTTTTTAAACACTTATTTTTTTTTTATTTATTATTTTGTTATTACATATATTTTAATTTTATTTTGCTTTTTTTCTTCTATTAGTTTTGTTCGCTCGAGGTTTAGTCTACAATTATAACATAATTATTAATTAAAAAAAAAATTTACATCTATTTGTTTTACCTTGTTGTATTGTAAATATGTATATGGAGTTCGATTATATATATGCATGTATATTAACTATATAACTATGGAGTATTACAGGAAGTTACAATATAGGGAGCTTTTATGCATGATTTAAGTATATATTTATTTCATACATATATGCACGTCTATGTATGTAGCTGTTAGTTTGCTCTGTTTTCTAAGTAATTACTTACTTATTCTATTAATTACTAAACTGCTCTGCATATTTTATTTCTCAATACTTTGGTAATTTACGTGTAATTTATCGTTGAATTTTTTTTCGAGTACTGCGGGATTTGCTTAGTAGTTACAATTTCATTTAAATATATATTTTTTAAATAAAATTTATTTAAAATTTTTATGTTTTTTTTACTTATTTAAATTTAAATTTAATTCATTATTTATTTTAAATAAAATAAATATAAAAAAAAATTAAATAAAATGCAATTTAATTTTTTTAATACAATGTTTTCATTTCATTTTAATTAATTTTAATTTTTTCATATTCTTTAATTTTTTTTTTTAAGTAAAATAAATTGCTTTTATCTCGTTTAATTTTTCAGTAATAATATTTTATTTTTATAGCCGTTTCGTTTTATTCTGTTTTATATTCTTTTAATTTAAATTAATTATTAATTCTTTCATTTATTATTTTGCTCTTTCTATTTCATTTTATTTAGTATATATTTATTTATTTTTTATCTAATACAATTTAATTTTATTTTCATTTATCTATATTTGAGTATCTGTATCTATAAAAATCTTATATTCGTATGTAAGCATCCAGTAATCTTCAAAAGTTAATGTTTATACGCAAAAGGAAAGTGGGCCAGGAGCTGGCATATTCAAATAAATCTTGTTTACGGTTCGTTTTATTGAAATTTTAGGACGATATGCCTTAATGGAATACTTTTGATACCTGGAAATTGACCAGACACTAGTAATCAGTTCGATTTGATAAAAATTAGCATGATTTGGATATAAGCTTATAACGTACGTAGGTATGTACGCTTTGCACTTCTATTATTTTTTGGTTCCGGATTCAACTTGGGGGTACATAAGCCTAGATCCGAACATTGGCTTACTTAGAGACATTGATAATTTTATTTTCTTGAAACACTTTGGGTGAAAGACCGATCTATAAATATAACTATCGAACGACAGAAGTTCCTCACTGTCTCGTTCATCAACACCGCACAATGCTCGCCTAAATTACTCAACATTGTGGTGACTTGTATAAACTCTGGTCCACCAAATTATGCGTCTAAACCTACAAAATTATCCATCGGTCGTTGCATTTTCACGCCAGTTACTGAACGGACTTCCGGACGGGTTACATTACCCGATAACTTCTGTAAGTCGAAATAGGAATTGTTTAACGCACAATATCCAAGTCAGTTAAAGCGATCTTGGTTTGGCTGTCTGCGATCTCAACTACAATATTCGATACAACATTGATTACGAATCCGTCACATATACACGTCGAAGCGTTGTAGTGTACAGTTAGTTTTATATAATTTTATTACTCTTTATAATTTTTCAAATAAATTAAATTTTTTCACCTGACTTAAATATTTTGACTTAATTTATTTTTTTATTTAATTTTTTTCTTTGTTTCTTACTTTTATTTATTTTTTTACGTTAAAATTCTTCGTAATATTCCAATTATTTTTGATTTTTAATTTTTATCTTTTTTACCCTTTATATTTTTATTTAAATTTATGCATACTTTTAATATATTTTATTTTTCTTTTATTATATGTAATTTTATTTAATATAATTTTCTTTGATTTTCTTTTATTTTATTTCATTTAATTCATTTTTTTATTTACTTATTTTTTTTGTTGCACTTTTATTAATTTATTTTTATTTTTTTTTTAATATTTTTTTATATTAATTAATTCACATTTAATTTTCATTTTTTGTGGTCTAATTTATTTTTATTTCATACATATAATTGGCGCTTTGTAACCGCTTCTACTCCAATTTGTGGTTTTGCGTCTTGATGTTTTTCCAACAAATTTCAATATTTCATTTACTTTCATTTAATTAAACTTTTATTTTTTTCATTAACTTTTTTGGTACATTTTTATTTATTTATTTTTATTTTTCTAATATATTTTTTCATGCTAATTAATTTAAATTTATTTTCCAATTTTTGTAGTTTTATTTCAATTACTTTCGTTTAATTCAAGTTTTTATTTTAATTATTATTATATTTAATTAATTATTCTTTTTTTTAGATTTAAGGTTTATTATTTTTTATGATATTCCCTTATTTAATTGAATTGTACATTAGTTTATTTTATTTTTTATTTATTTTATTATTGTATTTATTTTTAATTTTTCTTTAGTTATTTATTTATATTAATTTATTTAGTATTTCATTACTTGTTTAATTTAATTTTATTTATTTCAGTCTATTAAATTTAATTTTATATTTTTTTGTTTATATTAAATTTCTTATTTATTTTATTCTATTATTATTCTTATTGCAAAATGCAAGCATTTAAACTATGAAATAAAATTTTGTAAAGGCTTTGTTCCTGTTTTTTTTTTTTAACATAAAACAGCCTTGCTTTTATAGAAAAACATTTTTGTACATACCAAGGAATAAATGTATTATATAAATTTATTATATTTATCATATTTGCAATTACATACGTACATACGTACGTATTTAAACAGAATTTCGCTATTATTCATTAGCATAGTAAATTAAGGCCTTGGAATTGAATTTTGAGTCAAAATATTCAGATTCCTTTTTACGGTAAAGTGTATTTTTTTCTTTTAAGTCTGCTGCGAGTTTGATTATTGTTTTTTAATTCTTGTTGAACAAATGTTTAAAATTGCATATTATTATTTAATTTAATTTTATTAATTTTTTATAATAAATAATAATTTACTCTGCTGATTTTTCAACATTCTTTCATCAATCAAGGTTAACCAAATTATCATAGGTACAAAAAAAAATATATATTTTTGTTTGTAAATATCTAATTAACTGATAGAATTTTTATAAAAAAAACTAAATCAGTTTGTAGTTGTTGTATTGAGTCATTTTACTTGAAAAGTATGTAAAATAATATATTTATTAAATATTAAATGCCAAAGTGCAATATATATGTGGATAAATATAAATATCTTATGTTTATAAATGTGTGGATAAAAAAAAAATATATTATATATATATATATATATTTATATATTTATATATTTATATATATAAAAAATTTATTCTATATACAATAGAATATGGAGTATATCTGTATGTATAAACATAAGCAAACTTAAAATAAAAAGCGAGTTTGGAATAATATCCTTTACAAACATAAATACATATATACATATAATTGATCACAAATAATAAGTAATTTCATAACAAGTACTTACATACATAAATTATTATCGCAAAGAAAAAAAATTAATTATAATAACTCAATTTATAATATTTTTTTATAATTTTTATTAGCATTTAATTAAAAGCAGTTTTTGTGGTTGTGTTTTTTGTGGTATAAATGCAATGACATTAATTTAATTTATGCATAAAATGATAATGATTATATATAATTAGCATAGAAATTAATAATACAGACGAAAATAAAATATAAAAAATTCCATGATGCTAAGACAACAATTATAAATATTTTATTTTATTTTTATTTCGTTTTCCCAGCTGAATAAAAAATTTTCATTTTTCATTTTCTTGTTTCTTTCTTTTTTTTTTGACTACTCGCGCTAAGCTTTATTTTAAGTTAAAATAAATATAATTATTTTTAAACAATAAACAATTAATTCTTAAATTGATTGAGTATACATATTTATACACATATATATATATATATTCGTTTTATTAGTATTTCTATATTTTCTCTGGTTTATTAAAAAAAAAAGCAGTTTGTTATTGTTTTTACCTGCGTACCTTGTGTTCTTAATTGTATAATTCTTTACCATATTAGGTTTGTCAAATAATTTTTGATTTTTTGTTGAATTTTTGTATAATATTTGAAAAAAAATGTATATATATATAATATTTATTACTCTTTATAAACCAAAGCATTATTTTCAAATTACTTGTTTAACATCTAATACTAAAAATATACATTAGTAGGCTTCTAACTGTAATTGTTTGTATATTATTTATTACTTATATTGTATATTATTTGGGCAATTTTACTTATTTTTGCGTCGTAAATATAAATCGTAAATATGTATTTCTCTTTTAGCCGTATTAAGTTTACATATTCAGTTAATATGTGCGTCAATTTGCTTTTGTTGTTGTCGTCCAAAAATAGTTTACATTCCAATTTTTTGCATTTAATTGTGTATGTATGTGTGAAGTAAGGTGTTGAGGTGTTGCAAATTTTTTTTTTTTTTTTTACTTTGTGACTGTGTTGCTTTTGTTTTTAAGTTTTTCAATTTTTTTTTTATTTAGTACACTGCAAAACCAAAACCTAGAATTAGAAAACAAAATCAAGTTATGTATTAATGTTGGTGTATTGACTGAGAATATTGAAACAAATATTATAATAATTTAATTATTTAAATTAAACATAAATAATAAATAAGAAATGTGCATATTTTTGTGACATAAAAGGTTTTGAGTTAGTAAATTACTCTAAATACTATAAGTATTAATACAAAAAATATACAGTAAGTAATTTTAAAATATTTTTATACTATAATTTTACAGCGAAAAACCAAATTTTATGCGATTAGGATTTACACTGGAACAAGAATTACAGATATTTTCCATTTCAAAGGAAATAATAAGACCTTTACTATAACAATGCTCACTCCAACAATAATCCCATATCCAATTAGTCAAAACTAAGTATAGAGAAGATATTGAAAAATCAAAAAAATTTAACGCAGCACAAAGTATTAGAAATTAATGAATTGCCTGAATCAACATCAACAGCTCTCTAGTGCACAGCTACTCCTTATTGCATGTAAAAAAAAAACTGGTCTACCAGAAGATGGCGAACACGATTCTCTTATAGATGAGAAACAACAAAGCGGCGAGGACCGATGGATTACCGGCCAAACATTCTACGCCAATTACCTTGAGGAAAGTCTTTACAATATCGTACACAAGATCCCATCGAGTGTTCTGTGATTGAACTGATTGGACCCTATCAGTGTGGCTTTAGACTTGCTAACTCAACCATTGACAGATATTCACCGTGAGCCGAATTGAGGAAAAATCACGTGAAAAAAGCAACGACATACACCACGACTTCCTCGATTTTAAAACAGTTTTCGACAGTACGAAAAAACCCTTATGCAACTATGTCTAGAGTTGGTATCTCCTCAAAACTTATACGGCTGTGTAAACTGACGTTATGCAACATCAAAAGCTTTGACAGGAACACGAAGCAACCCTCCGCGCCGTAAGTCATTAGACGAAGTTTCAGACAAAGTGACTCCTTAACGTGTGATTTCATTCATTTATTGTTGGAGAAAATAGCTGCGGGAGTTGAATAAAGAAGGCACAATCTTTTTCTTTATCAGCTCGGCGATTTTCGTTTGGATTTAAGAATTTGTATAAAGTTTTTCATGAAAATAAAAGTAGGCGAAATGTTAGCAGAGAGCTATGGTGAGTCTGCGTTGAGTAAAGCAAGAGTTTGCGACTTGTGTGAGCGTTTCCAAGAAGGCCGAAGAGGACGTTGAAGATTATCCGTTAACAACCAATGAAGAAGTCAAAAAATTAAAAAAAAAACAGCACTTAATAGTTGTTGGTTAATAATGAATTGAATAATACAACAATAAATTACATGGCTGATGTTGTTTAGTGTAAGAGCACTCGCCTGTCTTTTAATTCAGGATCCATTGGCTCGATCACTGCCATAAAAAGTCTGATGAGGAGATGTGGTGATCTCCAAAACAGCTGGCACTTCTACCATTTTTCTTTGTTGTATAACAAAAAACAAAAATATTCAATGGCTTTCAGCTCACTAAAACAAAACGTATAACTTTTCGCTTTTACAGCTCTAAATGTTATTGGAAACACAATGCCGAAAGAACTAAAGAAAATCTCAAAGTTCGAGCTTGAAATGAGTTATGGAGGATTGGAAAAAGCGCTGACACAAGCGCATAAACTCTAAATGAAACTTTTTTTTTTCACAAAATGAATTCCTGCTATTTTTTTGAACAAACATCGAATTAGTGAAGATCATGTAAAAATTTGATCGGTTTAGCACATTTTGAGAAATCATGATTACCGACATTGAAAATGACATTTTCAAAAAAAAAACTCGGTTATTTTTTGTTTTTCAAATTCAGTGATATCCCTGAAAGTATTATCTGTTTGACTTCAAATTTTCAGAGAATATATTGTAATATGCACATTGGGTTCTATTCTATAGCACAAGTAAAAAGAGTAGCTGGTTCTGTTTTTCACCTTTCGATTTTTTATTAACTCATAAACGAGTACAGAAAATAGTATATTGATTTTGGATCAAGACGCAAAAGCGCAAATTGGAGGAGGAGCTCGGCCGAAAAATCACTGAAGCGCAATTTATATATGCATATTTGTAGGTATATATATATGTAAGTACCAGAAGAAGAAAAGATATGACTCATTCAAATTCATATCGATCCGGTCAGAACAATGAATTGAGTTGAGTCTGAGTCCGTATGCTCGTCTGTTCGTAGGCAAACTAGTACTCAGTTTTGAGATATTTCAACCAAACATGGAACCAGCCAAATTGAAATCGGGCGACTATTACATATGTAATATACTGTCGACTTTTCAGATTTGAGATTTTGTATCATAAATTTGTCAAAACAAAAGCACCTAAGAGCACACATATGATAGATTACATATTGGTGCTGTAAATTATTGAACTAACTTATTTTCTCAGATTTTAAATTTGTATCCAAACTCCGTCAAAAATGCATCTAAGGGGCGTTTTTTCGACTGCCTGTTAGAATTTAACCTCTCTTTAAACACGACCACCTTTTCTCAACTGCTAGTTTTAGTACGTAGCTGTTAAACATCTGTTCGGTTTACAAACAGAAAACAGCTGATTTACAAATTTACTTAATTTATTTTACAATAATATATAAATATAATGGAAAATGTACGGGTATTTTATAAATGTACGTAATTTTGAGGAAAAATTTAATTGCCTGTTTCGTGATCCTCAAATTGACGGGCAAGAGTATGAAATTTGGTATTTCGTATCTACAAATAAACTTTGTCAACGAAAATCATCGAAATTAGTGGTCTATATTATATAACCGCCATACAACTAACTTGATCAGATATATGTTTTTGTTTAAAAAAAAAAAAAAGCATCCGTCAAGAAGCATCTAAAAGATTTTGAAGTTTACAACCGTTTGTATATACAAATAAACTTTGTCACTGGAAAATTATCGAAATCGGTAAACTTCATCATCCTGTAACCCCCTCTAAAAAATTTTTTAGATCTCAAGAACTCACATTTAATCATAAAATGAAAGGCAATAAATTTGATATGGTCTCGATAGACTTCGGCATGAACGTAGATAGTTAGTTCTTCTGTCTTATCTAATTTTTTTGTAATATAAAATAATAATTTTAAACCGATACTCAAAATGTATCAAGAAGTTTAATGTAGTTAGTTATTAGATTTCGGCTACTAAATTTTCTGAATTATTTAGTTCAACTTAATGTACATACAATGATTAATTAAAAAAAAAAAGTAAATGCTCTAAAATTATAAATAAAAATAAAAAAAATTTAAAAAAAAAAATTTTTTTTTTAAATTTAAAACAATTTTAAAAATTATTTCCATGCGTCTATAAAATAATCTTTGGTTTGAATTTCTTTAAATGCGTTCCTATAAAATTAAAATTATTATTATCATTATTTTCTCTTTTTTTGATTTTTCCACGCGATTTAATTAAGTTTTGCGTGCATATTTGCGGTATTTTCCCCACAAATTTAATTAGTACAATAATTGCATAGATATAAATTTTCAATTTTACTTTAGACAACTAGATTAGAAGAGGCTGTAATAAAAATAGCTAAGTAATATATAAAATATAATTATTTAATTTTTTTCACAATTTATAACACCAGCCATCAATATAGATATGCATACATATTTAATAAATATTATTAATATTTGTATATATAATATTCAACCATATTTCACTACACAATCGATTGATATTTGATATACTCGTACATATATAGCTACACAAAGTTGTTTAGAGAGTACAGACATATAGAAATACACCTAAACACATTATTAATTTGTAAAAAAGAAACATAATTAATCACCATTAATTGCCGCGCCCACAAAGCCCTTGGCAAAAGCACCTGCGTTATTAGTGTCACAAAGCATAAAGTCAAACACCGTTAAATTAAATCCAATGATCAATCACAATTTCGTAGATTATAATACACACCACACAAACACACACCAAACATATAGGCAGTAAGTATATGCAGTATGTATGTATGTATGTATGTATGTATATGCCATACGCCCACCAATCACAATAAATGAGTTTAATAAAGCCATACATAAAAGCATTTTTCATATATATGTATATGTAGTTGATGCCACGCACAATTTTTTGTTGTTTTTATTGCTAAATTATGAATAATTTGCATACATGCTTTTCTTAAGTTAAGTAAGTTTTTTTATTAGTTTTTTTCATTATTAATTGGTTAGTCACTTAAAATCGAAAACCTTGTCAAGTGTGTATGCGTGTGTGTTGTGTGTGTGTGTGTAATAATACTAAATATTTTGTTTAACTATAATTTTACTAAATCACAATCATATAATCATATTATATCTGTGAGTTTATATAGTCTGTGTGCGTGCGCATGTGCAGATTTTGTTTGAGTTTGTTTAAAAAAAAATTATTATTTTTTTAATTATTTATCATTTTGTATTTAGAGAGTGTATATTGGTTTTAGGCAGTACTTGAATTTTGCGAAGCGCCACTGATTGCATTAAACAAAGCCATGCTATTACGTTGCCCGCTGCTGACGCTCTCGTCCAAAGGCTCAAATGGCTCACCGAGTAGCTCGCTAAGCGCCTGACAGAGTTTACGATAGTTTTCGGTGAGCGCATTGTGATATTCCACCTGATCGTTACTGATCATGCGCGCATTCAATTGGAGTGCCGTATTGCAGACCTTAACGAAGTCTCTGCGAAAAAGAGTTTTGAAATCAGAATAAAAGCATTAAAAAAAATATGAAATAAAATAAAAATTTGAGTTTTACTTACCTGAAAATATCCTTCAAATCCTCGACACGATCTATTGAGAAATTGCTAACAATTTTCGGATCCAAAAATGCTTGGGCATAAGCCAGGGGGCCAGCATTTACCGTTACCGCTACACTACCTTGCAGTCGCAATTGTAGTTTCTTCACATCTGCCGGCGGCAATATGACCTCCTCCAGTTCTGAAACTTTGGTTTGCATCTCATCGATTGCCACCTCGATGGGGCTCAGTTCGATTATTTCACGTGACTTCACCGGTATTCGTTTGAGCACGTATGGGAATGAGTAGGTCGCTGTGTAGTTGAGGGAAATATTTTAAAAAGTAATTATATACACAATAAACATCAAAATTGCTCTTTCCAAAAACTTACTTTTAATAACGGTTTTGCGCTTCCACTGCTCCTCGACACTGCCACGTGCTGCGCCCGACTTCGTAAACGGCGTTTCATACATAAATGTGTCGACATCGTGATTTTGCTCGAATTCGTTGAGTCGCTGATCGAGTTCTTCCTTGCTGAAGAATGGTATGACATGCGTTACTTGGATATAAGCCAGTTTGGGGTCGAGCGTATTGCCATCCACCTGGAAATTAAAAAAAAATGTTTTTTTTTTTTATAAATATGAAACTTCAGCAACACAAGGGTAGGTATGGTCAATTGCGCAAACAAAAAGGCATCTGGGGGCGATGTTTTGAGTTGAAACTATATCAGCCACTTGTCTGTATTAGAATCGAAAATCGCATGAGCTCGCGATCAAAACCCTTGTCGAAGTCACTCCTGTGCAACGTAGGCAGGCACTCCTGCTACCTGGCAGCACTCTTGAACAGATGGGATGGGATTTAAAATTCCATAGATATTATTGGTTTCCGACAAGGTGTACAAAAAAGCTGGGACCACAACCATTTTCCCTTTGTAGCCCATCTCGCAACGTGACCATCGACCGTCAACTGGTGATGTGATGATAAACGTACGCTCCTTGGTATGCACCAATGAAGCCTGCATAAAACCGCCACAAGAACTTAACCCTCTTAAAATAGTAAAACATATTCCTTCCATTAAGAGGTGTGACCCCTAGCTGTGTAAGCAATGTCTGCTAGGATGTGCTATCGTAAGAACCATCGTTGTAAACATCTACTGGAAGCCGCACCACAACCTAGGCACATTATGAAGGGAGTGCTTGGCCTAAAGACCTCTATTCAGCATCGCGCAACAGTACCGCTGGACAGGACGTTTTACCGACAACCAACCGTCAAACCCTTTCGAAAGATTTAAAGCTGCCTTTGGAGCAATACTGCGCAATTAAGGTCTGAATACTGTAGTGCACCCAACTCCAACCCAGACTATATGCCCACTAAAACTCACCTCTACGATGAGGTAATTGACATTCTATCACCGGAATATGAGGAAGTCCGCAGATCAATTGTTCGCGCGAAGAAACACAAAGCAGTGGAAGCCTACAGTCTAACGGCTGAGGTATCGAAGAACTGACAAAGTGCAGACAACAGCTTATTGGCAAAATTGCATTTGTGCAATGGAAGCTTAACGACTGTGCAGAATACTCTGTTCGGGGGTCCTCCACAGTATCCTAACTCCATTGCATTGGTGGAATGTAAGCTTAACGACTGTGCAGAATACTCTGTTCGGGGGTCCTCCACAGTTTGCCAACTCCCAACCTGAGTCTCCTCAATAGCCCACAATCAAGGAAGAGGATGACCTAAGCCATTGTGCCGAGCTTCGAGAAGAAATTACCGACTGGTGCACTGGAAGATTTCCGGAAAATAGTTATTTACATCTCTAAAGATAAAAAAGGTGTGGCACCCTTGATATTTAAGACAGGGCGTAGTCTGTTGGATTTAATAAGATCATATAAATTAATGGTGATTTTGTTTTTAAAGAAAAAAATTCTACATTTTTTTTGTCACCCTCGTAAGCTTCTATAAATTACATATGTATGTGTTCTTCATGTAAAAAATCTCTCCGAAATACTGATGCCTTCGAGCAAAAAAAAAATCATTCAATATTTATGACATTCAACTTTGCCACAAGCATCACTTCACAAATCTGGTAAATATTTTCCTGAAAAGAATTAATTTTTAGTTTCGAAATTTGACAAGATAATTTTTATAAATTTCCACGTTTTATATTTCAGTTTTATAAATCACAAATTCGTTTAAAAACCAATAAAACCAAAGATTATACACAGTTTCTGTCTTTCAACGAAGTCATCAGCGACAACAGGAAAACGACGAAGAAACGAAGTAAAAGCGAGTCAAACAATAGTAAGGACTAACGAGAATTATTCAAAGGAATTGATATTGAAGTAGACGAAAGAGTTTTTCAAAACAAGTTGAAGATATTTGCAAAGACAGTTACAGAGCCGAATTCCCTTAGGAGACAGTAGACAGGATGCAAACAGCCGCAGATATGCCAATAGAATTAAACCGCAGAGTTGCTGTGGAGTCAGCTGAAAAACAGCAACAACAGTTGCCAGTGAGAAATGATACCGTTATTTCAACAAACGGACTCAAAATTACATCGAAATTAAACCCAGACGCCAAGGAGTTTTATCCTTCATATTTATTGAGACAAAAACTGATGCGTGAAATCGGTGACGTCGGTGGTGGTGGTGCCAACACACGCACCGTCTGCGACTTGATGCGCCGCAATACGAGTGTTTGTCAGGTGATTAAAATAGATGGAGTGACAGGAAATCGAATAGATACTGATGTAGATATGTTGAGAGGGAAAGAGAAGACGGTGGACACCGTTAAGCCACGAGAAAATATTGTAAATATTGTAAATGAAATGAAAGCAGAAGTCATGGAGAAGCCAACAATAGCTGAAAGTGATGTTGATAAGGTTACAACTTCAGATGCGAAGAAGGAATCAGATGAGACTTTCAAAGCCGGCCAAAAAAAAGCCAAAGAGTCAAAGCCGAACTTAGGCGCAACCACAACAACAAAGAAGCAAACAGAGGAAGACATACGCGGCTCTGAAGGCGACAGCACGGACTTTGAAGATGCCGAAGGCGAGCCCATGATGCATATGACAAGCCCTAACGAGCATGAAGTGAAAACAGACAATGCAGAAGTAAATCACAAGACCGAAGAAAAAATACCCACTGTTGGGCAACTTCATTTGCTCAACGAACGCGTAAGCGATGAAGAGAACCGCGAACGTTATTCCGATCAGAGCTCCAATGAAACACTTAACGAATTCAAATGCAAAGACGACACGGAATCCGTTGAAGTCAGCGAGCTGAGCGAAGAAAATGAGCTGGCAGAGGAAGAAGGTTTGCATGAATTGCCACAAATTGTAGAAGAAAATAAGGAACGCAACAGTTTGTGCGGCGATGGCGAGGCTGAGCTGGAATGTGAAGAAGGTGGCATGTGTGACTGTGGCAATGTAGGTGATGGTGATGTGTCCGAGCACATTTTGTGTGTTCCAAAAACTAATGAAGACAAGACGACAAGCGAAACTGAAGGCGAGTTGGCGATCGGTGGCGCCATTGCTGCGCAGTCACCACCCAACAGCCCTAAGAAACGCGGCAAGAGCATTACAGGCACGAAGACCCGTTTCAGTAAGGGTAAATTGCTGAAGGAAAAGGATGAAAAAAAGAAATCCGAAAAACATACCACACTACGCAAACTGGCCAGCATTAGCCTGAGCTTGCGCGGTAAGAGTAGCACACATCATGCAGAGAAAACTACGCCACGCAACAGCTCAACGGTTATGTCACGCACAAAACGTTTAACGGAGAGTCTACACAATCTCACCATGGGACACAAGTCAAAGTCGGAGAGCAAGAAGAGCGAGTGCAGCAGTCGCCTGTTGCCACGCAGTATCACAAATATACCAAGACCGCCCACAATGCGCACACGCACAACGCTCAGTAGAGCCAGCACCGAGGCGAATGGCACGAATTATAAAGTGTCAAAAGTAAGCGCCGGCAATAGCGGTGCCACTGCGACCACGCCGAAAGACGACATGTCACTGAAGTCGGTGAGCTCAAATGAGCAATGTCTGGCTATGAAGTAAGCGCATGTAGCAAACTATAAAGTGTCATAAAAAATACTTCCCACTCTTTTTACAATTACAGAACCACTCCTCATATTGTCAAGAAACCGACCAGTGGCAGCAAAACAAAGAATGCGTGTCTCGAAAAATCCGGTATACCCACTGTAACGGTGACCAAGTCCAAAGATTCTGTAAACAAGTTACGTCCGCGCGGCACACACGCTTCAACGCTGCGCCAAAGTGAAGTGCAAAAGGTAAGCAAAGCAACTCTTTGTCTTTTGTATTTGGTTTAGAGAGTTTTTCGCTCTCTCTCTCTCTCCCTCTTTCTCTCGCTCTCTATACTTTTCGTGCTTCAATATGTTTTATCTTTCTCTCTTTTCATTTAATACGTCCATGCCCCGCAAATCCAAAACCCGCATGTGGCCTAAACGTCTCGCTGATTGGTGCTCGCGTCGGTGCTTAGCGTCGTAGTCTCTTTCCTGATGATGCTGCTGTTGAATCGAATATTGAATTGTCGCAATTTTTGTTTAAGTAATGTAACTTTGAAAATACGCTTACATACATATATTTTTAATTCAATAATTACTAAACAAAAACACAATTTATGAGTTCCAGTCAACCATGTTGGGGGACTTCAGCTCTACGGATATCAGTGAAATTCTCAATTAATTTAACAAAAATTGCTTTGGCCTCAAGTTCTCTTCTCGAAAGGTTTACATGAAGGTGCAGATTTTGAAGTTCACATTTAGACAGGCTTCATAAAGCTCAATCAGGGCAAGGAAAACTCTGAGTCAACTTGGTAACATAGAAGGATGTGTCGTAAGAATCGACTTAAGCAGTCTAGACAAAGTTTGCTGGCAAGTTGGGTTAATTCTATTATGTAATGAGTCCGAGTCGTAATTAAGATCTGCAACTTGTTCTGGGTAAAAGTGTCACTTCGAAAAGAGTGAGAACGATGATACTATGATTGATTGAGTTCTTCGTTCTCGCCAAGAGCGGGAAAAGATGGAAAAAAGGTTCTCCGAAGCTCTTACTTTACAATCAAGTGAACAGAATGTTTCTGATTAGGTTTGGCTACAATAGCAAGTTGTCGAAGAAGCTCCCTCACCAACTCAACTCACCAAGAAATTCGTGTAACACTTCAGATCTAGATCTCTCTGAACCCTCACATAGTTTTAAAAAGTCTTCCCAGTACCGGCTAAATTCTGTTTCTGGCATCCTCCGTGAACACATCGATATCAGAACACTATAATCTTATATACTAAGCAATTTAGAGCTACCTGAAGACTGATTTCACCGTGAGACCTTAGAAAATATTCACACTATTGCGGTCTGTATAGTTTCGGCAATACAGATGCCATCCTAACATACCTAAGAACTAAGCTCAATTCTATATATGTGAGTTAAAATCTTCACGCTCAAACTAGTCAGTAAATTGGAATGTTCTTACTTAACGGTAAAAGTATAAAATCGAAGGAGCTTTTGTTAGTCAGAAAAGGCACGCAATAGAGATCCGAAAAATCTACTACAGAGCTATTATCTGACATGGAGAACTTCGCGACGCCGGTGGGAGAATAAAATATCTGAGTCAAACTGCCAAACTCAAGAAAAGTAAAGAAAGCATTTTCACAAGGTGATAACTTCTCTCTATTCTTGTTTACACACTCTATCTCTCTCTCACTCCATCTCTTGAAAGCGTATCTGTTTTCTCTGTTGCCGATGATTGCTTGGACTTAGCGTCTGGATGTATTGATACCTCGTCGACACTTCCCTCTTCTTTACTGCCTCCCACTTAAGACTCTCACACCCAAGGTAAAGTGAAAATACCGCGAGTGAATAGTTGTTAGTTTGCACATCGGCACAACGTAGAGGACCGCCTAAAAAAATCTTCAAGTCGCAAGTGAAAGCTTTTATTGGAACCCATCCGGTACCTATTATTGCATAGACGAGAAGCGCGAGCTCAAATCACGTGAAACCTGAATTACTGCTTACACAGGCGAGAACCCGACATACGAACCCTATGTGTCAACAGTAAAGATATCAGTTCTTCTTCCAAGTTCTCTTGAAGCAACTTCTCTCATGTCCGTCAAAATTTGGTCCGGGTCCGGTGTTATAGCCACACATCGCGAAATGTAACTGGAGTGTCAGTTATTTGCAAGTCAAAACTTGTGTCGTCTTAGTATTTAGACCCAACTGAGCCAGGAACTATTGGATTTTAGTCGCTTCCTACGATAGGCATGATTTACTCAGAGTCTAGCGAAGCATCTCATTTCCAGCGGCTCGAGTTCAATAATCTCGCTGCTCTCATGTCTATTTCAACTTACATTGCCACCACAATCACCTCTGATAAGACACTTGGGGTAAGCCTTTGGCCAAATCTTTTCTAAAGATTGCTAAGTTGGTTGCTTAATACATGTAAACATAACCACAAAACCCTTAGCTGTAACACCCAAGGTTCTTAGAGGATCGTTGTCATCAAAGACACAAGGGGTGGAGCCTCAAACATCCTAGCAAGCCTTTCATTGGGAGAAAATCTTGCTGAATGATCCTCCCAGCCTGCACTATCGGAAACGAAATTATGTTTTCTTCTTCCTGGGGCGCTTAAAGTACGGAGATTACTCCTTTCGGTTAAACTTACCGGCGATGAATCCATTATCATCTTGACAACATCTGCACCGAATTTCTCTTTGTATTGTTTCGATAAACGTTCTGAGATCTCACTAAGTGAGGTTAGTTTCGGTTCTTTATAAACGAATTCGACTGCGTGATCGTCTTCAAAGTAAACCTGTGAAGAGATTGAAAAAGTTTAGTTTTTTTTTTATAGAATATATGTGAAAAACTTCATACTCACCATGCCGAAGAAGACGACGCGATAGAAGCGGCCTAACATGCGTTTGCCCGAACGATTCACTTCGACAATTTTATTGTAAGCTTGCATGAGATGTTCATACGATTGCGCCAACTCGATATATGAACGACTGCGTTCATACATCGGCAAAATGAGTTTATAGAGATCGCCCAAACACTCGAAGCGCTCGCCACGGTCGAGAAAATCAGCGCATTGCTTCAACTGATCCAGCAACATCTGCTCGGTGTATTGCGAATCCTGTGCGCCAGCATCCAGCTTCAAGCCTTGCTCGTCACGTGGTATATTTCGCGAAATCTTGGTGAAAGCCGAAGCGCCCCAGTTAATGTTGCAACCACCGCGTAGGCGTAAATATTCCGACATGAGAGCAGCGATATGCAAGTGACAGCAGGCGGCCTCCGAAATGTTACCATTCTGTTCATGATTGCGCGCCATTGTGATAAGCCAGGTATGACGCAGTTCGGGTGTGGAAGCATAAGAGTTCGCAAGTGAGTACTGGAGCTCAAGCAGACGTTCGGGATCCATGTGATGCGCTTGCATTTGCGCGGTTGCCATAAGCACGGTGCGTACGCGACGCGTAAGATCTTTCACCTCCACTGGGAAACCAGTGCCTTTCATTGCTTTATCACTATTCGCATAACTGTTAATCATGGAGAGACTTTCTTGGAAGCGCGCATTATTCAAACCGATCACATTGCCAATCATTTGCGAAACCGATATGATCACCTGAAGATGTACGCGTGTTAGACCCTTGCGGCCGGTATATTCAAAATTGCTGCGCATCAACAGATACAGCACAGCGCAGGACTCGTGACGTATGGCGACGAGGCGGCTGTCGCAACCCTTTAGCAATTCATAAACCATCTGACCGCACAGCGTTGCGTTGCCCTTGAAGAGCGCAGGCGAGAAGTTGTTGATGAATGCCCGCAAGGCGGCAAAGACGTGTTTCGATAACCTCTCTGATTGGCCGAGCTGCAGGAATCGGAGATAGACACGCGCCAGTTGCGGTAACACAAGACTATCACAGAGTTTGTCACGGAAATGTACTGCATACAAGCCGAGAGTATCAAGTATGATCATGCCGATTTCAGTAGCCAGATTGGACTCGTACAACGCCTGTTGATTGCGCGCTGTCTCTTCAACGAGGTTTTCCCGATTTTGCGTGAGGTTCAGTGTGCCGGACTCGTGAGTGGTACCATTGCCATTAGAGGCTTGCTCCGCATTAGGTGGCTGCATACGTGCGGGCAAAGTACTTGCCTTGGCGGTGCGTGCCATACGCGACTCCTTACCATCATCTGTCAAACTGATATTCTTTTTACCCACATAACGAAACTGCACCAGACACAGGTCGAGTATGCTGAGATAGGCAAGAGTTTCGGTGTCAGTACAATTCTGCCACCAGCCGATCATTTGGTCTTGCGCCAAGTGCTTGACGACAAAGAGGAAACCCATGAGAAGATCCTTGCTCTCCGCCGTATTGAATTTATCGCAACGCGGCAGGCAATTCAAACCTTGCATTACGTTAATCGTCCGGTTATGCCCATTACGCATGGCAACCTCCGACAAATCGGTGACGTGGTGACCATTTGTAATTGCGCCCATAGTAGGTGTGTCTTGGGAGTTTTGTGAATCTGAGTTCAGCGTATTAAGTGAACTCTCCGAATTTCCATTAGCGAGTGGTGCTGTGCCCGTATGCGGCACATCCCTAACGTAGACCGAAGCGCGCAGCGGACTAGGATGTTCAATGTGTAACGTCATGCGGTTCTTGGAGCGCGGTGTGGAGGTTAACGAATTCAAAACAGTCTCTTTACCAAACACATAACTGCTGGAACAGGATAGGCGCTGCGTATACGAAGCTGAGTCGGCGTATACGTGGCCGTTGGGTGTTGCCACGCCCGACATATCATCGATGCGGTGCGAGTTCTCCATAACAATACCCAACCAGGGTACATAGAGAAGCGCTATACGCGAAAGCTGGCCACGGTTCTGATAACGATCGTCGAGCTCGTGTTTGGCGAGCAGATTCTTAAAGATGCGCAAAGCATGCCGTCGCACAGTGCTCGGCTCATTCAGGCTACGCTTTAATTCTTGCAGTAAGAGACCGGCGAGAAAATGCTGGCGACAGAAGTCCTCTGAGAGTGTGAAGTGCAACATCATTTCCGGTGGCCGATTCTTGGGATTCAGCACAAATGGCAAATTCAGCGGTACATAATGCTCGTGCTGGCAGATCTCTGCGAGAAAATCAAATTTGAACTCCTGCAACGTACGCTGATCACCTGGCTCAAATTGCTCCATATAATACTTGATCAGCTTGAAGACAAAACCACGGTCCATGTAGCTGAGGCAGCGACGTACAAATTGGGATAACGAGCGATTCAACTGTTGCGTCTCCAAAGGCAGATCCTTGTAGCGCGAAATCAAATAGGAAGTGAGTACCTTTATCAAACTCTCCACGCGCGTCGGATACTCCTTCGGAAAGCGTTCGTTGCGCAACATACGTATGCGACCTGTGTCCAAAAGGTGTTGCGCCATACTTTTGATAATCAAATCGAAGAATATGCCCGAGTAATGCATAAACTTATTGACAATCAGAAAATCGGTATTGTTGGGATGCAAAATAGTCGGTAAATATTTGCACAACTCGCCGTGCACAGTACGTGACGTCTTCTGACTATAATACGGCGCATGGAAGACATACTTAACATAAGCGCTGAGCAACTCCTTCCGTCCAGCCTCATCGATGAGCATGTGTATGATATTGATCAGTAATCGTATGATATTCACGCCGATCTCCTCGGACTGTGTGTGCACAAGTAGAGTGAAAAGTTCATTCAATACAGTCGGTAGGAAATTAATCAATGTACTAATATCAATCGCATGTGCTGCTTTGAGGATTTTACACGTCTCCGACTCAGCGGGCAATGCAGTGGTTTTGCCACCCTCCAACAGCCGCTCACAATGTGCGAAGAAATTATGCAAATGTTGATCTGCGGTCAGTACGGTGGAGTCCATTCGGAAAGCGACACCAAAAAGTGGTCGCTGACTGTCGATCCATTGTATTTCAGGACCGCAATTCTGCTGGAAATATGGTAATGTTTTGTAGCCACAGAGTAGGAAATAGAAGGCGAAGGGAAAATAGGAAGATAAGGTGGAAAAACAGGAGCAAGAAAGTGAAAGTGTAACGCGGAGAAAGGAAAGCGTGTGAACACCAGGATGATGGCAAGCCAAGCGCATGTGTGTAGATTGACGAACACAAGTGTAGGAGTTGTGGAGCCATGGAAACGTGCAAGCGGCGATGAGGTGGAAAATTTTATACATTTTTTTAAATTTAAATTTATTATTAGTTAATTATATTAATTTGATATAATTTTTTTATTTTGTATTGATTTATTTAATTTTTATTTTTTTTTATTTAATTTTAATTAATTTTATTTTATTTTTTTTAATTTTATTTTTTTAGTTTTTTTTTTTAATTTTATTATTTTTATTTGTTTTTTGTTTATTTTATTTTATTTAATTTTTGGTTTATTTTAGTTTTATTTTATTTCATTTTTATTTTATTTTATTTCATTTTTATTTTATTTTGTTTAATTTTAATTTTTTTATTTAATTTAATTTAATTTAATTTAATTTTATTTTGTTTTATTTTATTTAATTATAATTAATTAAATAGAATTTTTTTTATTATAATTTTGGTTTTTAATTTTATTTCGTATTATGTTATGTTAATTAATTTTTATTTTATTTGATATATTTAGTTTTATTTAATTTTGTTTATTTCATTTAAATTTTAATTTATTTTAATTTTTATTTATTATTTTTGATGTAATTTAATTTAATTTTATTTTATTTCATTTAATTTTAATTTTTTTATATTTTTTTTTTTAATGTGATTATATTTTATTAATAAATATTATGAAAATATCGGTTGTTTTTTATTGGTGTTGCAGGCAAATCAAAACGTTTTGAACCCATATGTACACGCACAACAATTTGAGGAAGCATGAAGTATATGAAAAAAAAAAACAAGACAGAAGAAACACAGTGAGTATAGATGAAAAGAAAAATTTGCGGAAAATTTTTATTCATGTATGTATGTATGCGTATGTTTTTCGTTAGAAATTTGAGAGCGATGTGAATATGTGTAAGGAATAAAAAAACAAGTAAAATCGTTAGTTCAAAATGCAAAAATAATAAAAACAGGTATTGATTAAAAACAAAATATAATACAAAAAATCCATAATCATAAAAAATTCTTAGGCATTTAATTGAAATTATTTCAAAAATTTTCGTTTCTGAAAATTATCACAAATTATCAAAATTAAGATAATTTCATGAAAAGTGCTGAAAGTTAAACTACATTTTTGGCAGTCAAATTTTATCTTATCATCATTACAAAAAATTAATCAAAATTATTTAAAAGTTTTTATTTTGAAAAACCAATCAAAAATTAAAAAATTTAAACTAATATCATATGGTATAATGGAATATAATATTATAATAAAAATGAAAATATTCAAATGAAACATAAAAACCAATTATTATGAAAATAATTAATAAATATTAAATAAGAAATATAAAAAATATACTTTTAATTAAATAATAATCAACGTTAAAAAACGTCATTTTAACGATTTTGAGATAATTTCATAAAATTTTGCATTTAAAAATAAAAATCTAAAAAATAAAATTATTAAATTTATTTCAAATTTCTTTTTTTTTTTTAAATTCTACAAATATTATTAAAGCAAGATAGTTTTGTGAAAATTTAAAAAGAAAGGTTTAGAAATAACTACAAATAGAATAGCATTTATGAAATAAATTAAAATTACATCAAATAATTTCTTTTTTAATTTTGAAAAAATCAATTAAAAACTTGAACATATATCTCAAATATTAAAAAAAAAAATAGATAAAAATTAAAATATTGGAATGAATGAAAAACTAATAAAAATTAAAATGAATATTAAAAGAAAAATCAAACAACGAAAAATTTGTTAAAAAATAAGAAAAAATTACTTATGATATGAATAAAATTTCATTGGCGTTGCAAACACTTAGTTTCATATTTTAAGTGAGAACATTAATTAATATTATACATTTAGGATAATTTCATAAAATATAAAAAAAAATTAAGTAATGAAAATTCAAAATTTGAGCATATTAATATTATTTCCAACAAAAGTTTTTTTTGTTTCAACACAGAGGATTACGAATTTAAAATGATTTCATGAAAAATTAAATAACTAAAATATTAAGAAATAAATTTTAATTCAAATTATTTCAAATGTTTTATATTTGAAAAAAAAAAAAGATTTTAAATCGAAAATCTGAACTAATTTAATAAGTAATTAAAAAGAAAAGAATAAACATGAAAATATTGCACTGAAATACAATTTTTTTCAAATTAATAAAAAAAATTAAAAGAAAACCTGAATTTTTTCAATTAAGATAATCAAACTTTAGTTGCTAACAAAACAGTTAATCAAAATATTTAATATTAGGAATTTAATAAAATTTCATAATATATTTGTCAATACAAAAAAAAATTATCATTAATTAATTATTTATTTTTTATTTCCTTTTTTTTCGAAAAATCCATACGAATTTGAGATAATTTTATGGAAAAACCAAAAGAAAATATTTCGAAATAAAATTTTATCTTTATCCATTTTAAAACAATTAATTGAAGTTATATGCATTTATTTTTTTTTTTTTTTGAAAAATCATTTAAAAATTTAAAAGGTAAACTAATTTCACAAAAATTAAAAACAAAGAGTAAATTTAATTTATTTAAAACTAATAAATTTTAAAATTATTGTAATAAAATAAACGAAATAACAAATATTTTGTTAAAAACAAACAAAAAACATATGAGGGTAATAAAATTTTAGTGCCGTTACAAAACAGTTAATCACATGTTTTCATTACAAACAATAATTAACTTATTTACACTTAAACCCGTTTACCACTTACCCCTTTTCCAAGTCCCAACGGCTGTATCGACAAATAGCCCGCCGGCAGCGTAGCCGCCACAGCAATGACCTGCTCCTCCAAATTTATGCGTCCCTTCTGTAACAACGGCAACCAAGCATAGCCGATCGGGGTCTCAAAAGACGCATTGGCATCACGTTTCTTACCCAAATTACACGAAACATGATAGAAAGAGAAGAGTAAATGATGCTCGGGAAATAGACCCAAAGGCAACCGCATTTTCACCTCTTCATACCAAGTGGGCGTGGTATTGTGATGCAGCACGGGACAGGCGATTTGTGTGACCAGAAAATCATGACCTGGGCGGCCATAAATACACTGCGAAGCAAAATGCAAAATCAATTTTAAAATTTTATTAGTAAAAGTATTTTCAGCACACACACACCTTCAACGGTTTGCTACCCTCCTCATCTGAGTCGCGCAACTCCACGACAACGGTAATATTGCGTGCGCGCGAAAATAATTTCTGACTATCGAATTGCAAATACTGCGGATAGACAAATAAATGATTGCAGAATGTTATGTATGGGTAGGTATCGCGTTTGCAATTGCTTTGGAATTCGGTCAGCTCGAGCGTGGGCGGTTTGGGTGGAAATGTGAAGTTAGCTAGCGGTACTAAAGATTTAGTAAAGGAACCTGTTTGTTGGTGTCGAAATGGAAGGAAATGAGAAGAAAATGTTTTTTGTTTTGTTTCTTTGTTTCTTTAAAGCAAATTGTTGAATATGCGCTCTCTCACTCACCTGACACCTTCTCTACCTCCTCAATGGTTAGCTTCATATAGCCTGGTATGACAGTGAGTTTGCTCAACTTATCGGGCTTTCGATATTCGGCCAACAGCTTTAATAGCTCCTCATCTTTCAATTTATTCGCCTCCTGTCTGTAGATGGTCGTCAACTCGAATGTATTATTTTCCGTATCCAATTCGTTGCGATACAACCGGAAGAGCGGTTTCGCCGCCCACGCGAATGGCTGACGGTAATGCCCAATATTCTGTGCATAACTACGCGCCGTTTTGTGTAATTTAAGCGCGATCTTTGGATCACGTCCAGTCTTCAAATACGGTTCGGCTGCTTGTACTATACTCCCTTGCAGTATTTTCTCCACCTTCAATACCAAAAAGATGTCCGGATGTGGCGCTGTCACGGAGAATATAGACTGACGCAGATGTGCGAAGTGTTCTTTGGTGCAACGCAACAGATCACCGGAGAGATTTTCTATCAGCGAGTTTTGTACACGCACGCCATTAGTATTACCGCGCACGCGATCCTCCTTTTCGTCACCACGGCGCTGTGGCACACAACAAGCGGATACAGAGTTCGGCACAGGCGTTGTAGGTAGCATATCGCTTACATAGTCATCGTTCACATTGAAATAGAAGGATTCTGTAAGCTTGCGTCCGCTACGCGCATCATACAGCGCCAGACTGGTTATGTACGGCTCCACTTGACATAGATTCTCACCATCCAGTCCATCAGTGCCGGCACATTGCAAGCGAAAGCGCAAGCCCTTGCAGGCTATGAAGATACGTTTGCCGAATTGCTCGCGAAACTGATCGACGCTATCGGTTATTGTGGCTTTGGCATTTGATTGGTAGCAAGCGAAGAGACGCCGTCGATGCTCACGTCGCGCTTGCGCAATGGAAATGTCAGTTTCACGGCCATACTTGATCAACTGCGGATTCATGGATTGATCGAGACCTTTCAAGGTACCGAAAATAACCGTGTTGGTGGTGGGTTGTGGTGCGCGTTCAAGTGATGCGACGCGCTTATCCTCCTGAATTTTGTTTTGTTGCAAAACCAAAGAAAGCTTGCTCAGCCAATCCTTGAACTCCTCTTCGTTCTCGGCGGCGAGCGTAAACGACTTATGACCAGCGGTCATACGGAGCTCAAAGCAGAAGCGGCCACGTTTGGGATTCTAACGAAAGGGAAGGAAGAGTTTTATTAAGAGATAAAAGAAAATAAAATAATAACACACGGTTACCTGTACAACCTCCGTGCAGAAGTCCATGACTATGGTGGCTTTGGCCTCACCTTGTTTTTCATCTTTGTGTAATTCGAGTATGTATGTGCCGTCGACCTCTTGACGAAGGTAGCAATATCTAGCGGGGTACACAGCGATTGTAAAACAAGCTCATTCCCAAAAGAAAAGTCACTCACCTTCGCTTAAACGATTTATTGCCTATATTGACAAACATACGATCCGAGCCTGAGTCGGGACCTTTCAACAAGTAACCTTGCTTCGTTATTGAATCAGCTTGAGATCTTGTCATTTGTTCGTCAATACGATCTTGATCTGCGTCAATCTCGTAGACCTCTTCTATCAAAGCTTCTGGCGGATTTGTTCTATGAAAAACAGATATTAATCGTTTGCAAACACCAGCAAACTACTACTCAAGACACTTACTTTGGCAAATCGTGACAAGTGCCGCCATATGCACTATATTTGTAATGTATGAGATGATTCTTAGCACGGTATGTGTAGAGCGCTTGACGCGTGAAGCGAGTGCATTCGGCGCGTGTACCTCCACCACTACTCATGCCATCCGCGCCGCCGCCACCACCATCCGAGCCATCCAAGTCCTCATCCTCCTCCGGCTGTGCGAGTATATTCGATTTCAATGTCGATGAAGATGATGAATGTGATGTACCGCCAGCTATCGAACCTACATTGGATAGCGCAGATTCATAGGATTCATGCGAGGAAGTTGGTGATTTTATCGATGGTTGTAATTTGGTAGTTGAGCTCTGTGAACTTTTACGCGAGAGATTACCATTGGATTGACTGCTTATTTGGCGTTGTGTCATCTTCGGACTGTTTGTGTGACTGCTCTGTCGAGAGATGGAAGTACTACTCGAGCCGTTACTTGTGCCATTTGTGCCACCATGCAGGGGACAGATGATTGCTTCGTTAGGCGGTTCGAAACGATCGATGATAGATTTGTTATTTGTGCGCTGTTTGCGAGGCATGACGATTTCCTAGAAAGAATTTCGGTATTGATACAAGGTCAGCTCAGTTTTTTGGCAACTCTAAAAGTAATACAATGAGACCTGCACTTCTAGGAGGAAACAAGAGATTGACTTCTCATGCTATCTCAGTTCCCGGTTCTGTATGCGTATTAAGATTTATATCTACTTCTCGTTCGGTGGCGTTCAGCTATAAGATCTTATTACAGTGTTTATGAAAGCCCCTCGACATTTCCATCAAATTTCAACCCTTCCCACCAGCCCACTGCCAGCTTAACACAAAGACAAGTCCGTTTCACAGTCCGTATAATCAGAGTTGACAACAAAACCAGCGTCATCAGCCCTCTATCCGATTAAAATATCAATGGTTAATAAAACATTCACTAACATAACTATGGGTTAGGTTAGCTGACCTAGTATTGGATTACACTTAGGCAATTTTATCATGACTTCATACATAGCAATCAGAGTTCCTGTCCAAAGCAATAGAAATGACTAGGTGAGTTCAAAAGATCCTTCTATTCTCCGCCAGCCAAAGAAATTATGTAGAGTCTTGCGATTCTACAAGTCATGATATTCTGCGAGGAGAGGACGACAGACGAGCAGCGGCGAGCTTAAAGTCTTCAACCCAGACTCCTAATCTGATAGATCGTAAAAAAGTTCGATGCTATAGAGAGAATATAGAAAACGCCTCCACTGACCTTTCCACCTCGCTTCCAAATGCCGCAAGGAGTCAAGCTACACCTAGAAGGAACGATGTCCCATAGCACAGCTATTTTATGAACCAATTAAAAAATAAAAACCCTCGAGCCGCAGTTAATTTTATATTCAGAAAGTTAGTAGTGGTTGTAGTGTAGAATCCTCTAATCCCAAAGCTAGAACTGAGCAGTGGTCCGGCTGTTTTAAGCCTTACATCGGTTTTCTGAGCAGCGGCCCTGGTCGCTTTATTTAGCAAGACAGACTGAGTGTCAACCGCTGCAGGTAATCTCTTGTAGCTGTTTAACTGGTGATGATTTCTGCAGCAGCATCTATTGAAACATGATTAGCGTAACTATGATTTCATAGAGCCTGAAGTATTTAGTCTATTCGGTGGCAATTCTACTACAATATGAGGTGAACGACGCTTTTCTGCTTCTCTTCGCATACTTTGGCCACCACGACTTTCTTTCTGGTCACCCATGACTAAAATTGTAGTCGAACACTCTTCTATGGCTTTGGTCCCCACGACTTTCGTTCTCGTCTCCCATGACTAAAACTGTAGTCATACTCTCTTCTTTGACTGAGGGTGGAGGTTGTATCTCCTTCTGAATAACACTAGTTCTATTTGAGGTAAACGGCGAGACACCTTCATGGCGCCCAATTAGATACCAAAACCAGTCTTCCAACGTCTACCCTTCTATAATTTCTACAGCAAGTCCAGGGTCCAGAGCGGAACAAAGAGAACATCATTTTGCTTCCTCAAATTCGTGTTATACTAAAGATCTCAAGATATTTTATTTTGATTTTCCTTTTTTTTTTACTTACCGACACATCGTCATTGGGATATATCAATAGTTCCCGCTGTGGATCGTTTTGTATCAGCATTTTGTTCTTCGCGACAAAACCTTCAAAATCGATAGGTTCAACGACGTGAGATTTGCTCTGAAAAATGAGAAAGAAAGAAGAAGCATATTTAATACAAATTCCCTTGAAATAAATACACAATTTTAAGAACACAAAGAACAAGAATTCAAAGAAAACATCAGTTGACATCATCACATTTTCCAACTAATTTACGAGCTGTCAACTGTAATGCGCAAAACAAGCGTAACAAAGAGATAAAGGTCAAAGGATACCAACGCTTACAGGCTACTTAAACTACACACCCAAATTATTGATTTCATATAAAAAAAAACAAGACAACAGCCAAGGTGTCTTCTAAATGGAACCATTAAAGACGACAGCAATGATAATTGCAAGGTATTATAATTGCATGTGAAAGAACGGTATAAAAGAAAGACGAATGAAAAAATGGAAATAAGGAAACTGTCCAAATGCAGAAAAAATTTCATATGTGGGGTAAAACAGAAGAATATGACATCAGTTGGTTTTGCTCAAGGACGTTTAGAGTCAGAAGAATGAAAAGAATTTTGCACTATCATTGTAAAAAAGCCAAAGTAGTGTTTAAATTATTATGTTATACATATTACGCCACCCCAGCGTGTGATAAACAAAATGACTTTGTCCTTAATTTGTTGGGCTCTAATTTCGTAATTTTGAGGAGCAGGATATAACGAGGTGTTGTGCCTTTGGAATGGTTGAACAAAGCCAATTTTAATTAGATATTAACACAAAAATATACATATATATAAGCATTTCAAATATATATATATATATATATATATATATATATATATATTATGTCAGAAACACACTCGGAGAGGTTCATATTCTCTGCCGAGGGGCAACCGCAATTAGAGAATTTAACTTATTTTGGTTTTTACTTAAATTAATTTTTTATAATTTTTATGTGTTGGTCATAACAGGAATTGAACCTGAATCTATTAAATACAATAATTATGTGATATTCAAATGTGTGATCAAAATCATAGCACATTTTTTGGCGCTGGATTTTTAAAATTTTTTTCTATTAATATATACGGCAAAAAAATAAAATAAATTTATTAGCACAATACAAAAAAACATTAATTAAGCTAAATAAATAAAATTAAATTAAATAAAAAAAGATGAAACAAGTAAACTAAGGGAAAAATTAATTAATTAATAATTTACTGTATCATATTATTAATAATATGAAATATAACAAAAAAAAAAATTAAATAAAAAATAAAAATAAATGAGAGCTAAATAATAAATAATAAATATTAAATAATAAATAATAAATAGTAAATAATAAATAATAAATAATAAATAATAAATAATAAATAATAAATAATAAATATTAAATAATAAATAATAATGAAATTTACTACAATCTAAGTAGAATCAAACAAAATTCAACTTAACATAAAAGTAAAAGTGCCATTACCTAGCTGCATGAACTCTTTGGAACGAAGCCCATTGAAGTCGCCGGATAGATGCTGGGCTTGGTAAGGAAGCGTGAGAGCTTTGGCCTCTGCTGGACGCAAAAAAATCAAAGGACTTAATCCGCTTAGGCTGGTTCACTATTAATTCAACAACAGGCATATTAACTGGACAAAGTTTAATGGTTAATTTTCGAGTTTCGACACATCCACATTGAAGTTAAGCTCNTAAATTAAATTTAAATAAAATAAAATAAATTATAATAAAATAAAATTAAATTAACGCAAATTTAACTAAATAAAATAAATAATAATATAATAAAATTGGGTTGGGATCCAATACTCAAGGGGTCTTGAAATTCCAAAAATAATTTTTTTGTATAAAAACACAAAGTGTTAGGAATATTTTCCCCAAGCTTCAAATCGATCGATACGAAAATGTAGAAATTAGAGAGTTTTATAACCCGCCATCTATGCCATGGCTTGACCGATGGCAAAACTTTAAACGTGTTTTTCTTAAAACGACTTTATCGAAATCGCTAGTAAAAATTTCTCAGCGACTATTTAAGCGATCAAGTTCAAATTTTCCACACTTCTTTTAACCATATTTTTGTAGTCCCTGAACGAAAGATTTGTTTTATCTTTGATTTCAACTCATTTTACAATCCAATATGTGGCCTATTTTTATGCAAAAAATGACGTTCTTTGTAAAAAAAAAAAACACTACAAAAAATTTATTTTTTTTTTTAATTTTTCTTCGTTCAGGGACAAAAAAAAATTCACCTACTTTAAGAAAAAAAATTGGAATTTTGATTTCAGACAAAAATTGAAAAAGTTATCATGACTACCGCGAAAGCACTTTCTTGTGGACGGTCTACTTCATGACACTGCCAACGCCTTAACTTATACTATGATATTTTCATTCAAATTTTCATCAAATGTTATCCACATATTGTTTTTTTTTTATGTGTATACTTGTATACTTTATTTAGTATCTTTTAAAAAAATTGGAGAAAATATGCTTTTTTATTCTGGCCTTCAAGACCTACTTGTATGTAACCCCTTAAATAATCTGCCCCAATTGCCGATGCCCAGCTGGTTGATTTCCTCGATAAAAATAAAGCTGACAACATCGCCGTCTAAAGAGTACGTTGAGCAAGACAAAGACGGAAGGAAATGGGTCTCTAGGAAATCGACTTAAACGGACCTATAAGCGTAAATTTGGTCTAGAGTAGATATGTCAACAGTATTCTAGATATGTGTACGTTTCAAGAACCTAACATCTAATCGGATAACTATATTCTCGCAGTGAAGTCACGCACCCGCCCCTGTGTAGCAAAGAACACCCCACGAAATAAACACAATCCAATTTAGAGGAGGAGAAAAGCTGCAATGACAGCAGACAACCAAACAATGCTCTCCTGCTCTCTGAGAACACTCATCAGCAACTCGGCATAAGGTTCTTCTTCAGTGAGATAACACGTCGCGAGTGGTTACAGAAATGTAAAAACTATGATTTTGAATTAGAATACAAAGATCGCAGGGCAAGGCTACACATTAAATTGAAAACCCAACACTGCTGTTGAGACTGAGCCTAGTTCTGAAGGAAAAACGCCTTCAATATTACTTCAGACACGACAAAAATTACTTTTCTACAATACTTCAAACATTTGTTTGAAAAGTACTATCTTAACCGCCGTATTCACCAGATTTTGCGACGTCCGACCATCATCGGATCTGGTCAATGGCACATGCTCTGTAGCCAAAGCTGTTCACATCACCGAAATATGGGTTGATTTGTGGCTAGGTACAAAAGGTGAAGAGTTCTTCAGATGAGGAATACGTACGCTGCTTGAAAGCTGTGAAGAAGCATTTGCTACTCGTACTGATGTAAGAAAACTCTTTTATACTTAAAATTAATTTTAATACTCAATTTCCTCAAAAACATTACCACATGGCTGGAGAAAGCAAAAGGCTTTACAATTCTTAATTAGTCCTCATTTATCTGTCTTTATTCTCTAAAAATATTAAGTTTTCAACCAAATTTGTAATCCACTAAAACACATTTGAAAATAGAAACAAACAAAAATTAAAGAAAATAATTTCTTTATAAAGGGTGTTTCTTTCAGAAGTGTGGTTTTCGAGAAGGCAATACCTTTTTTCGGAGATGATCTTTTCGGCTGCTGTTACAGTTTGGTTTGTCATTTCACAAAGAACAGGCTGACATCCAAACAACGTTTGTAAATGTTGATGCTGTGGAGTAGGGTATCGAAGTAAGCCCGAATGAGTCCAACAACCTGCGCTCGCAACATTTCGAACTGTGCCCATCCACTTTATGGAAGATTTTGTGGAAGGAACTTGGTTTGCGTGCTTACAAAAGTCCAACTCGAATAAGAATTGAAGCCGAATCACCAGCCACAGATACCGATTTTCAGAAAAAATTTTCAGCGAAAAAATTCACTATGTGTTCAATGGGGTTAATGATGATAATCCATCACCATTATACAATTGGCGCTTTGTAAACTCTGAAGCGATTTTCGAACGAGCTCCGCCTCCAATTTGTGGTTTTGCGTCTTGATGTTTTTCCAACAAATGTAACTGTAGGTCCCAGTTTATACTAAGCCGCCTCCGAACGGTTGATGATTTTTTTATGCGAAGCCTTTTATTTCACGTCAGAAATGCAATCGGAGGGGTTGACATTCTCCGTCGAGGGGCGACCGCAGTTAGAAAATTTGACTTAATTCTTAATTTAAATAAATTTTCTATAACTTTTGGACATTGGTGGCACCAGGATTTGAGCCCGGGCTTTTCGAAGAGCAGTACTCGGCTACCGTGGCCGCCTTGTAACACCATTACATTCTTAAAAAGTCACTGTTCGATGTACTCTAAAGGCAGAGGGAATCAAATTTAAGCCGGCCATAATATTAAGATCAATACGGAACGCTAGAGAACCACGATAGTTAGAATTAATGACTTTTTCGTGTCTTAGTTGAAGAATGTTGATGCGAACGACCTGAGGTGCCAACAAGACGGAGCGAACGAAAGAAACAATTTAATGAAAGAGGCTTTTGGCGGACGCAATATCTCACGTCGTGGAACTTTGCCTTTGCCTCGAAGATCGTTCGTTTTAGTATCGCTGGGTTATTTTTTGTGAGGTTATGTGAAGTTGCTTGGCTACACAAATAAGCCTGAGTCGATTGTCTTCATGGAAAAGAGTATGCGACGCATTATTGCTGACTTATAGCCTCGATTGCTGCAAAAAGTGGGTGGAATTTCTTCGATGAAGTCGCGGCGGTCACTTGGCCGTAATCATATGACTTTATAACTGGGCTCAATTCTTGGTCATTTGGTGATAAAAATTTTATTTCTGCTTGAACACTACATGTCTAAAAAAAAACACCCTTACAAAAAAATCGATTTGTATGGACCATTTAGTATTGCAGACATCTTCATTAAATCACTAATAACCACTTGGCTTAAAACACTGGCATACAAGGAAATTTATCGCTACAAAATTTCATGGCTGATTACCTTAAAGTGCTGAAAAATGGTTTTTGAAATAAGTACTTAAATGCAGATATATTTTCAACAGTGGCGTGTGCGCTTACTGTTCGAAAT